TGTGTGTGTGTGTGTGTGTGTGTTGTGTGCAGGTGTGTATGTTACTTTTTTATTGGTTCTAAAAATGATTTTTAGTTTCTCTTTGTCATACTATCTGGACATCTAGCATCACTACTTTCATGCTTTGGAACCACTATTAAGTGTTTAAGGGTTACCAAACACTAAGAATCGGAACAGCTGATCCGACCATTAAACTCTGCTTGTCCCTAAGTGAATGATCAAGTGGGAAGGGAAGACAGAGAAGATCCAGACTGGACAGGGTAGAATTTTATGGCATGAGATTTAATTATAGATCTCATGACAATCCTCATTTAAAACTTCTAGATTCTGCCTGGAATCTTTTGATATTTTAAAAAAAGATTTAGTTTTATTTTATTTATGTGTATATGTACATGTCTACATGAGTGTATGCCACAGGTTTGGGTGCCTTTGGAGGCCAGAAGAAGGAGTAGGAATCCCTAGAGCTGGAGGTAACAAGTGGTTGTGTGCCCCTAGGTGTGGGTGCTAATGGAACTCAGGTCCTTTGCATGACCAACAGGCTTTTTATCCACAGAGGAACTCTCCAGTGCCTGGAAATTTTCATTGACTGTATATACATTTTTGTCACAGTTGACCTGTAGTACTGTTGTTGAAACTACAAAAAGTGAAACTGATTTGTGGGGAAAACAGCATTTTTCTGAATTTTGAATTTCTGCCTGTGAAAACAGTTTTACTTTAGGTGCTTTTTCCTAATTATATAAAAAGATGCCTCAGAAACAGTTAAGGTGTGGCATCATGTCTTCATGTGTCATCAGAAATGGGTTTGCATGTGTCTGAAAAAGATGCTAATTCAAGCATTTAAATGCATCAATGCTAGAGTCTCCTTAGTACTGACATGTTCATGTGCACATACCACATATATACAAAGACATGACCAAAGAAGGAAATAATTGTGTTTCTATTATTTGTTTATGTACAAGAAAAACATCTAATTAAATTAAAGTTCTCTTCTGTACTCTTCTTTTATCTTGTGGGTCTCTTTTTTGCTAGGTGAATATTTTAAGGATGTGTATAGCATTTTGAAGTAAAACACAACTTTAATATTTCTGCTGAAGAAAACAGATAAACTTATCAAAGATCATTTCACTCACCAATTAACAGCTTATGTTTTATTGCCAAATTTTTCATATCAAAAGACAAGGATGGCATTATAGCTCTCAGTAGATGATTTTTTTGAAATGTGTTTTGCTAAAATTCTTGTATTTCAAGAGTTTAAATTGAGTCAATGATAAAATAGAAAGAAATGGTTACAAATTATCACAAAGTGAATTTTCTTAGCTGCACAGTGAATGAGAGGTACAGATTTTCATTAGAATTTAATTTGTGCCTGGATTCTCATTCATTTGCCTCACCTTTTACAATTTTTGATTATTTATTTTTATTTTATATGTACGGGTGTTATGTTATGCCTGCAGATGTGTAAGTGCACCTGTGTTGTGCAGTGCCCATGTAGGACAGAAGAGAGTTTTGGATTCCCTGGAATTGGAGTTACTGATGGTTGTTAGCCACCATGTGGGTGCTGAGATTTGAACTCTGGTCCTGCAGAAGAACAATCAGTGCTCTTAACTGCTGAGCCATCTCTCCAGCCCATGTGTTTCCCCCCTTTTCAATCACTACCTTGAAGTTGTTCCTATGTTGTTTAGCTATGTCCTCCCAACTGAACTGTTTCCCCTGGAAGTCGGAAGAGAGGCTTATGAGACTCAAGAATTAAAGGAAACTTGGGGAGATTTACCCAGGGCATCCGCATAGTCCTGTGACCAATAACGACTGCTGGGGAAGGGATACTGACCAAGGTTGGTCCCAGGGTCTGCAAGTTGTTCGGAGAGCTTCAGGTATCCAGCTTTAGAGTCACCTCTCCTGCTAGAGTGAGCTTCCCCATGATTCGGATGGCTTTGAGTTACCTAAGGGCCCATAACTAAACCCATAAGCTCACTGGCTCATTAAGTTAAATAAGGGTGAAACTGTTTCTATGATCTGTCATCACTGTCCTACCTAGGCAAATAGACATTTGTTCATGTCTCCATTGGAAAATTCACACAAAATTTCATTTAATATACCTCATTAATCTGGTTCTTGCACAATTCTCTTCAAAGCAACAAAAATCCATTCCCCATTTTTGTACTAATTGCATCTTGTGAAATAAAACTTCAGTGAGCACTTCTAAGGGCCCCGTAGATGACCTCCTTCCATTGGCTTTCCTTCTTTTTAAGTCTAAGGATTCCAACTCTAAAATGTACATGTTACAGCTGCAGAGTTGGTTGAACTCAAGTAATAGGGCATCATTAAGTTGATTTTGTTTCTTACACCAATGTGTTACCTCAAAAGAATTTTTCCAAAAAACCTGTCCACGGTTTTGAGCGGGCTTCTACCTTTGTCTTTCTTCTCTTCTCAGTCCCTTTGCACTTCCAAATCCCCCAAATGTGATCCTTCAAAATGTGCCACGTTTTGAAAAGAAAGGTTAACAGGGAAAATGCAGTACATTTAATTATGTATATTACATGGATAATAGATATGCATTCAATACAGGACATAACTGTGTGCTGTCTTTTCAAGACCATCTGTGCCATGTGCTGTGGTTATTTTAATAATGGCACCATTGCACTTAAGCAGAGTGGCCACCAGAGTGCTGCAAACATCCATCCAAGCCTGCCCCTGCTCTGTGTAGCCTTCTACCGCTGATGAAAGCAGCAAGTCACTATATCTTTGGGACTAAGGGCCAACTCAATAAAGAAATATCAAGAAACATTTAAACCATGAATGGTTTTATCTGCTTGTAACTTTAACACTTTTATCAGGCTAATTGTAGAAGGTTAATCTCTCAATTAACAAAAACTCCTTTTAATTCTACCATCCTGCTATTGGTACCTATACAGTTAATGTTAATGTATACACTAATTTGAGTAACTGTATACATACAAACCTTTATGAAAATTTTCTTGTACTATTCAGGAAGAAGATTAATAATTCTGGAAATGGACTTTGAATAACTTTCTCTTAATATATTGTTCAATTTATATATCTAGTCACTTTATTAATTACCTCATTTTTTAGATAATATTTCTTTCTTGCATATTTTGCTAATTTGAGTTTTTAAGACCAGTAAATTTTCCAATTGTTTCTTTCTTTGCTTTGAATCAGTTTGGGGCATCAGACAATGTTTCATTCATATCTATGGGTGGAATGTCCTCTACATATTAAAAGCAAATATGAGGATTCATCATTTATGAACATACGACTACATAACTGTTTTTGCTCAGCAAACATTAAGAAAAACATTTTCCAGGACTGGAGGGATAGTAC